AAAAATAAAACAGAAAAGCAACGACATCACATAAAAGCCAGTCTGTAATGTGTTTTAAGAAATTATTTAAACGAGAAAGCACACACACACACACACACACACACACACACACACTTGAGATTGTAACGTCAGTTTGTGAGGGTAGATAGTTTGTCAAGGCTCCCTCAGTGATTGCCAAATAATGACAATGCAACATTCATACATTTATGAATTTATTTTTAAATTCTACTTTAGGTTGATGTCTGAAATATTGAGAATGCAGCTGAAAGTCCACCTAAAACGCACCCATAATGGCAAATGTAGAATAGTTCCTGTGATTTTGGTGATATTTATCCTTTCCATTATTGCCTGTGTATCTCACTAAAGTCTACCTGTGATATTATACTTGTATCCTAACATATTACAGGAGTGCTGTAGTAGCTATACTACAGAAGAAGTACTGATCTGGAGACATATGTTTTAAATGACAGATTTTATTCTTGTCGTTGATCAGAGGTGACGGCTGTGACGGACGTTCATGCTGGAGAGGACAACGTCTTCACCACGACGGTGGCCACGTCAGGAAGTCTCCCTGAACACGTGCTGGTACATCAACACTACTACTACTACTACTACTACTACTACTACTGCACATGCTCAGTGTCACTCTTATACAGGCTGCGCTTTCAGATCAGCTTCAAAATGTACTTTTCTGTTTTTTAACAGCATCTTTAAATACTTTTACTTCTGGGTAGATTAGCAATGTAAGACTGTGTCATTTATAAGCATCTCATATGTTTTTATATGTAAAAAAGTAACTATTAGTGACAAATAAATGTAACAAGTACAATATTTCCATCTGAAATGTTGTTGAGTAGAAGTATAAAGTGTCATAAAGATGGAAATAGTAAGTACAGTACAAAACAAAAAGTACATTTGAGTAAACACATTGCTGGAGGCTTTATTTAAAGAGTGCACACTGCCATCTGCTGGTGAAACAAATGTGTTTCAAATAACAAAGTTTCTAAATAGGTCCCCAGTTCACTGTGGATCAAAAGCTCAGATCCATTAAGTGTAGTTACAGTATGTTATATCAGGACTAAGTACCTAAATTATTAATCATTTCTCTGCATAATTAGACAGCTGGTTTACAGGAGTGGTCACTTTAGAGCTCGAGGGGCTCGTTCTTTAACCACAAGGTTGCCGGTTCGATCCCCGGCTCCTACTGTCCGCGTGTCGAAGTGCCTTTGAGCGAGACACTAGAGCCAAAGTGTCAGCAGCCCATCACTCCTAAATGTTTAGGACGGGTTAAATGCAGAGGTTAACATTCATGTATGTAATTGTACGTATATGACAATTGTAATAAAGTTTTAATAAAAAATAAAATGAAGTTTAAAGGACCCCTTAAAAAGCTCCTAAAGGCCCACTAGAACCTCAATCATTGTACTTTGCTGTGCTTCTCCTCATTACCTTATTTTATCTAAGTGTATATACCGTGTGTGTGTGTGTGTGTGTGTGTGTGTGTGTGTGTGTCACAGAGTGGGAGGACAACCCTCCAGCTGGGTGATGGTCTCAGCACCCAGAAGGCCACCTTGATCGTGGTTCACACTGACGGCAGCATCGTGGAGGCTACTGGCCTCAAGTCTGCAGCATCAATGACATCAGGTACGTGTGTGCGTGTGTGTGTGTGTGTGTGTGTGTGTGAGAGAGAACGTGTGTGTGTGTGTGTGTGTGTGTGTGTGTGTGTGTGTGTGTGTGTGTGTGTGTGTGTGTGTGTGTGTGTGTGTGTGTGTGTGTGTGTGTGTGTGTGTGTGTGTGTGTGTGTGTGTGTGTGTGTGTGTGTGTGTGTGTGTGTGTGTGTGTGTGTGTGTCCCCCTCAGGCCCGCTGACTCCGCCCACCCCGCTGACTCCGCCCCAGGACAAGGACTCCTGCTCCAAGTACAACTGGGACCCCTCGGTCTACAACAGCGAGCTGCCGGTGCGCTGCAGGAACACCAGCGGAGTCCTCTACAAGACCCGGCTGGGATCAGGTGATCAACAGCAGGCTTGATGAATGTACCTTGTACCTTTGTCTCATTTATGACTTTTTTGTTTTTAATCAAAGAACCAGATGTATTTTCGTCACACTGTTCTACTCTGTGGTACTGTCTCCTGAGTCGTGACCCACTCTGACGCTGGTGTGTCTGTGTTCAGGGGGCAAAGGTCGCTGCATCAGACACAACCAGCAGTGGTTCACCCCCACCGAGTTTGAGGGTCTGGCGGGAAGAGCGAGCAGCAAAGACTGGAAGAGGAGCATCAGATACGCTGGCAGGCCTCTGCTCTGCCTCATACAGGTACTACTGTATACTATCTGTAGTACTACACTGTACTGCAGGAGTACATGCCACTATATGACGCTACACAAAGCGATTTGTACTATTTGCACGCAGAGCAGCTGGTTGTGAACACAAAGCTGAAGTATTTTTTTATGTGTGTGTGTAGGAGCGTATCCTGAACCCCCACGCTGCTTCCTGCACCTGTGCAGCCTGCTGTGATGACCTGACAGGGGTGAGTTAGCAGGTCCTGGTCCTGGTCCTGACAGGGGCGGGATGTCACTATGTGCATTTACTCAAGTAATTGTCATGTAATTATGATCCACTAATTTAATATTATGACAGTGCACTCTATGAAAGCCATATATACAGTATATATGTATATATATATATATATATATATATATAAAAATGAAAGGATTAATTGAAGGAACGATTGCATTTAATGGTTAATCATAAAGAAAAGAATGAACCGGATCAGTTCAGTCAGACAGCAGGATGATTCAGATTGTGTTTGTCTGCTTCTTTCTCTTCAGTGTCCAAAGGATGGCGAGACTCTGGAAGCAGAAAACATCAGTATGGTAAATTTAATTTAGTTCTGTTCTGTAGCTGTGACCTTTGTTTTATCTTCCTGGGATTTGTTTAAACTGTTCTCTGATGTTTTATAGACTAAAAAGTATTGTTTTTCATATTCTTTGATCTGATAATTCCTGATTTAAAATGATAATTTCACCAGTTTTGGACAGAGTTTTTAGTTTAGCTGACATTTAACATTTGACAACATTGGCTTCTTTTATTTAATGAGGAGAAGTATTGGAAGAAGAACATAAACTAATTATTTCATCTCATTTAAAGCATCTTCTCATGTCTCCATCAGACCGGTCCAGTCCGCCTCTTCGTCCCGTACAAGAGACGGAAGAAGGACAACGAGCCTCTGGTCACCTCCCCAAAGAAGGAGCTCCCCGCCACCAAAAACATTACGCTGACGCCGGGGACCACGTGTACGTCAGGTGAACTCAGCCCGACTGTGATTGGTGGAGCCTCACAGCAGAAGAACGGAAAAGATAGTTTCTGGTTCAGGATCAGTTATGTCCGTTAAATCAGATTATTTCATAGATTCATGGGCTCATAGTCACAATAAAAAGTCTGAGAGTTAAGGAGGAATATATCCATTATTAGATAAGGCGAAACGACCCTAAAATTCTCATCTCATCATCCTGTTAAAGCACCTCTGAGTTATTTAAATGAATGAGATATTGACACACTGACTGGTTGGTGGTCCTCTGGATAGGACGTGAACATTCAGTGAAAGTTGACCTGTGGTGTGAACATTTAAACATTGTCTTCTGAAGTTTTCTGCTTGTC